CGCTGGGGCGAGCTGGGGCGCGCTGGGGCGCGGAGGGGTCCGGGCGCGGCGTGCTCACCGTCCGCTCCAACCCCTGGGCGGGAGCTTGTCCCCTGCTAGCTGGCCCGCTGCACGACCAGATGGGGTCAGAGAGTCCCCCAGGAAGAGGGGCGGGCCGAGGACCGCCTCCGTCTCGGCCCCTGCCCTCCCGTCTCCTCCTCCAAGAAGCCGACCAGACGCCAGTTCTGGACCCCACCTGCCCGGGACACCTCCCTCCCCCATCGCACTCAAAAGCCCAGGCCACAGCCTGCAGCCTCCTCCCTGCCTGGCCTGTCACGCTTTCCTCCTCTCTGGAGCTAAGCCTGGGGTAGGGTTGAGGACCACCCACACTTCTTCCTGGGCTGGGCCGGGTCCCAAGGCTGTGAAGGGCCCTGTGGCTTCACACTTCCAGATACCAAATGGTGTGCAAACAGAAACAAAGTGCCCAGGGCCACAGCAGGGGCGGGAGTTTAATCCAGTACTAACCCCCACACTCAAAAAGAGCATCTGGAACAGAGAAGGCTGGCGCTAGGCTCTGCACGTGGGGGGCGCGGGGAGAGCAGGGGTCGTGCATACAGAGGTGGGTCTCCAGGAGCCACAGGCTGACCGGCACGGAGGAATTCCAGAAACCCTTTGCTAGTTGCAGGTAAGGATTCATGAGGGCCTGTGCGCCAGTTGGGGCTCAGAGTCTGCACAGGTGAGCTGGACAATGTGAGATGAGCCAGAGGACTGGGCCACCGGAAGACGGGGTGCAACTCCAGGGAAAAGGGGAGCAGTTGTGGGGGAGGGGTTGGGCCTTGTTACAGTCTGCCCTCTGCCCACACCTGGATGGACGGTGATGAGCAGCTGGGAGGTGGGGACAGGGGCCCTGCACAGAGCCCCATCCTTTCTATCGACCTCGGAAAATCCTCAAATAAACACCATGTGTGTTTGCTGAAGGCCACCAGGGCTCCAAGAATCCCTGCTGTCAAGGCTTTTCTTTTTTTAAAATAGATTTTATTATGTATATTTAAGGTATACAACATGACATTATGGGATACATATAAATAGTAAAAAGGTTACCACAGTGAAGCAAATTAGCATATTCGTTATCTCACACATTTTCCACTTTTTTGTCTTTGTGGAAAGAGCAGCTAAAACGTACTCATTTAGTATGAATCCCAAATACAGTACGCTCTTGCTACCGACAGTCCTCAGGCTGCACATTAGATCCCTGGACGTGTTCATCCACATGTCTGCTACTTTGTCACCTCTGACCTACATCTCCCCATTGCCTCCCGCAGGCTTTTCTTCATTCAAACGGTGGGTCCTTCTGCAGGGCAGCAAGGCCAGGAGTGGGGTGCTCCTGGGGGCAGTCTGCCAAGCTGGTGTCTCCTGGTCACAACCTTGATGACAAAGGAGTTGAGACTCCGGGTCAGGCAAGCTCACCTCTCAGCCACCCCCTCCCGAGGCCACTGGGGATTTTATGGTACCCAGTGCATCAGAGCCCCGCAGGAGGGGAGGTGTGGGGCCTACTCACCCCACTAAATGAAGGGGGTGCCGAATCACCAAGAAGGCAAGCCCTGGCCCCTGGTCATGTGGTGAGTGGGAGCCAGGTCACTGTTCCCCACTTTACAGAAGGGGAAACTGAGGCTCAAAGAGGTGACATAGCTCATCCATGAGTCTGAAGGGACCCAGAGGTGAGACAAGGAGAGTGTCACAGACCATTGAAGGGGCTGGCCAGTTAGCTCAGTTGGTTTGAGTACAGCCTTATAACCAACCCCAAGGTCATGGGTTTGGACTCCTGTACCAGCCACCTGCCTAAAAAAATAAAAACTGAAGGGGCTGGCCACAGGGGAGGGGAGGAGGGGAGAACCAGGACACAGCGGTGCCTTTAAAACCAAGCTAGGTGAGAAATTCCAGGAGGCCAGACAGGGGGAGCCTGCAGAAGCCTGCAGTGTCTGGGGCTGGACAACACAGAGGCCCTGGTCATTTTACATGTCAGTGAAGCGATGGCCTTGGAGAGAGGCCCTCAGAAGACTCAGCCTCTTCCTTCTGTTGCCACCTGGGAAAGACTGACCTATGTGGTTCCCTTGGAGGGCAGGAGCTGCTGGCTCACCCTGGTCCCTGGGAGGCATTGTCCAGCATCCCTTCTCAGACCCCATAGGGAACATAGGAGAGGCCCCACCCAGAGGTCAGCTGTCTCCATTGCAGGGCAGCTGGGAGCATGGGTCAATTAAAGTCACAAAGGCACAAGCCTCAGCAGGCACTTGGCACATGGTAGGCCCATCATAAACATCTTCAAGTTGTGCATACGCAGTATGACCTTTTTGCCCTGGTGGCAGCCCTGCCCTACAAGCTCACTGTCCACTGCTCCCCAGACAGGTTGGTCCACACCAGTCACCAGCAACTCTGGCTCCTCCCCAGCATCCAGCACCCATTTCCTACCTGGTCTGCACAGCCCCACCCAGTATCCCAGAGGCGATCGCTGCAATGGAGGCGATGCTACCAGCCAGCATGAAGATGGGTTCCTGAGGCAGCTCCCCTGT